TAATTTATAAAATATCTTGCATGATTTGTAACGTTTTAAATTGTTTCCTTTTCATTATTAAAGTAGTCCATATGAGTACAATAACTGATTTCTAAGAATCTATTTAGGATTTCCTTGATAGATTTTCCGCATTCAAATTCCCAGAAATTAATAGCTGTCGTCCATAACCGGTAGTCAGACTGCAGTTATGGTCAGAAATAGTGAATGAAGGTGACCTAGCAGTACTCATTATTCGAGCGCTGGCTGTAAATTTTGCACACAAATTCGTAATGTTTACAATACAAACGGCCGTGTTCTATTAGCTGTAGTCCATAAGTCAGGCATGGATTAAGGCGGATTAAGGTTGCCTAGCACAGCAGTACTTGTTATTCGTAATGTTTGCAACACAAATGACTTTAAAAGAATGAGATACGCCAGGGGCCGTTTTTCGTATTGCTGGGGCTCGGAACCGCGCGCCTACTAGGAGAATCCGGAAAAATTTTGAAATATATGCCTCTGAAATCGCCGCAAATGCCTCTCAATTTAAGGATTATTGGGAAATAATAGATACTATGTAAAGTTTCCAGCATCTTTGGCGCTCATAACAAACATTAAAGAATATAACAATGCTTTGGTTATGATGTCAAATATTTTGATACGGATAACCACGCTGTTTTAATGGTCAATGCTTGTCCTATATGTAAAGTTTCCAGCATGTTTGGTGCTCATATACAAACATAAAACAATATAACCATGCTTCGGTTATGATGTCAAATATTTTGACATGGATGACCACGCTGTTTTAATGGTCAAATTCTTGTCCTATGTAAAGTTTCCAGCATGTTTGGCGCTCATATACAAACATTAAACAATATAACCATGCTTTGGTTATGATATCAAATATTTTGACATGGATAACCACGCTGTTTTAATGGTCAAATGCTTGTCGTATGTAAAGTTTCCAGCATGTTTGGCGCTCATATACAAACATTAAACAATATAACCATGCTTTGGTTATGATATCAAATATTTTGACATGGATAACCACGCTGTTTTAATGGTCAAATGCTTGTCCTATGTAAAGTTTCCAGCATGTTTGGCGCTCATATATACAAATATTAAACAATATAACCATGCTTTGGTTATATGATATCAAATATTTTGACATGGATAACCACGCTGTTTTAATGGTCAAATGCTTGTCCTATGTAAAGTTTCCAGCATGTTTGGCGCTCATATACAAACATTAAACAATATAACCATGCTTTGGTTATGATGTCAAATATTTTGACATGGATAACCACGCTGTTTTAATGGTCAAATGCTTGTCCCTTTTTGTCTCTGTTTTTATTTATTTTGGCCAAACATATGTACTGAACATAACTAATTTCAATCCATTTGTAAACATGGCGGATTTATTACGACAGATATCGTTGGAAATTAGAATAATCATTTCTTTGAATTGGTTATTATAAAATATACGCTGAAAAAGTAAGCAAAAAATACAAATTTGCTAAAACTTTTGCTTGTAAATTTAAGCGAACTAAAAATTAAATGTTCGAAATTAAAGACCAATTACGGAAAAATTATTGGTGGGGCTAAAGCCCAGCGAGCCACCCTGCTCCGCGGTCCCTGTACGCTACGTTTCAATAAATTGATTTGTAGAAAGTGCCTCAAAGGGTAATCGCTCACTAAACTACAGGGTGAGTAAAAAAAAACCTGACACCTTTGAAATTCAAATTAGCCGCATAGCGGCTGTAATGCATGTGACAGAAGTTGCCTAAAATATCTCATGGGCATACGAAGCATATATTAAAAGCGTGTTGTTGTCAAATTGTCTCCATACACATTTAATAAACAAATTACTTCATGGTTGGCTCGTTTGTACGATTTTTATTATGAACTCGTTGTGAAGAATCGCAAAATCACTCTTTCGCTACGCTCACTCCTTCGTTTTGCGATCCTTCACAACTCGTGCATAAAAATCGTACGCACTCGCCAACCATGAAGTAATCTCTATATATCTCATTGAAATGTTCTACAACGATTGTTAAACACTATTTAATTAATTTATCTTTAATTTTTTCATATTTATTTTCATAAAGTCTCAGGCAATATGTTTGGAGGAGTTTCTCGACTATCTTTCTATTGTGGTCGATAAACAGTTTGAAGAGAAAGCTAAGTTGGAAGAGGAAAAGAGACAGGTTGCTATTAATGGCGAAATTTAACGGCCGTTCAAGAAAAACAAAAGCACTATGCATAAACTATATATATATATATATATATATGTAATTGAAATTAAAAGAATTTATAAATGGAATATTTTTAAATAGCTTGTTCGACTTACTGCGCTATTTTAACCTGTGGCTGTTTATCGGGGGGCGGGCCTCATGCGGGACACGCGAATAACAATATTTTTTTATATCACTAGTAGTAATCACAGATTAGTGATGTGCGTTCGGAATGTGTTGATTTCGGTTACCGGATATTAACAAAAATGTTAATATGTCAAGTTCCCGCCGAGCTTGACAAGCGAAGCGATGTAATGCGAATTTGTAATTGAATCTAATTATAAAATTTCTACAAAATCTTTTTATCGAGTTATATTATAAAAGAAATAGAAAAAAAATTTTTTCCATGTCAGAAAACATCTTTCTACACAGTTATAGAAACACGGAAAATGTTTTAATCCGAGAGCAGGCTAAAATGTTCTGGGTATTTTTATATTGTCAGTTGTTTGTTTAAAGTCGCGAATAGTTCACTCTGATTGGCTAAAAATTAAGATTTTCTACTGAACACGTTTTAATTCGCATAAGCAGGCATTGTTGTCTGCATCAAAGCTTGTGTTGTTGTATGAAACGCTAACAAAGTGATGGGAGAACTGATCGTGCGCCTTGATTCAGAGGAATCTTTGATTGAGAATTTGTGCAAAAAGACGAATTTGTGCAAAAAGACGAACGAACAAAAGTCTTGGCTGAAAATGGTAGAAAGCAATGCCGATGACGATGATAATAAATACAAATTTGGTGACAAAACTGATTTTAAAAGAGCTTGGATATTTGGAAGAACAGCATCCTCTGTTTTTCGAATGGTGATGCTAGATGCAGTTGGTATTGACCCAAAAGCTTGTCCTAAATTTGGTCCAAGGGCCATGAAGAGAAATAAAGACAATTTGTCATTTAAAGTAATCAAGGGAGAAACCAACGAGAGTGATGAGTCAGCTTCGTCGAGTACATCAAATAATCCACCAAAATTTAAACTAATCGAGGACAAAGACATTGAAGAGATGAAGGAGGCAGCGTTACCGTATTATGCAGAATACGGCTGTATGTTCCCTCCTTCCCTAATCCAACATGCAGTGTTTAAAAACCGCAATAAGACCGTCTGTTTTAAAAAGAGGATGCTGATCTTCAGAGGAAACCCTCCATCGAAACCCGTGTCTTTCACCCCAGGAAAGCCTACAAAAGACCCTGGGAACGAGGTTGTGTCTTCACCTGGTCCGAACCCTCCCCTTTACCCCAACTTCAACGAAGTGATTGAAATCTTCACACATGCCGAGGCTACGATGTATGAACAGACAGAGTCAACGGATATCAACTGCTTAGTAAACGTGACGTGTACTCGAAGTACAATTACGAAGGAATGTCAAGAAAGTATACTCAGCAAATGTTCCTGCCATATCAAGGAGGACTACACTGTGCGAGAACCGAGTGACCCGTGTCCGGCAGACAGAGAAAGTGAAACATGTCCGAAGAAAAGTGCGAAGGATTGAATATTAGAACGCCAGTAGTTTTTAAATCAGCATAAGCATGCATTGGCTGAATATTTTTATTATTGCATTTGTAGACTTCATAGGTTCTTTTATTTAATCTCATAAACCTTATAATCTGTTGTAGTTTATAAAATATCTTTGCTTTATTTGTAACGTTTTAAATTTTTTCCTTTTCATTATTAAAGTTGCCCATATGAGTACAATAACTGGTTTCTCAGGATCTATTTAGGATTTCCTTGATAGATTTTCCGCATTCAAGTTCCCAGAAATTAATAGCTGTTGTCCATAACCGGTAGTCAGACTGCAGTTGTGGTCAGACATATGGATGAAGGTTACCTAGCAGTACACATCACAAGCGGCCGTGTTGTATTAGCTGTAACCGGTAGTCAGGCATAGCGGATTAAGGTTGCCTAGCACTGCAGAACACGTTATTCGTAATGTTTACAAAACTAATGACTTTAAAAGAATGAGATAGCTACGTATCAAAAAATTAATCTATAGAAAGTGCTTCAAAGGGTAACCGCTCATTAAACTATATTACCGAAAGAGTTGTACAGGGTGTCTCAAAAAAAACGCAACCACTTAATATTCTAAAATTCATATTGTTCATAAGCTCAATAGATTTTATGCCCCTGGGAGTTTAAAATGGCTTCTAATCGTACAGTTCAACTGCTAATAGTCAAATCAGCTAAACTAATAATGGTGCAGCTAACAACCGAACAACGAGTTTTTATTGTCGTGCATGATAACTTGAATGCTAACTGTCGACCTTGTAAAATAAACTGTAAATAAAATTTTACTCGTTAAATACTTTCAATTCAGCTCGTTGGTTTACGCACCCGACTTTGTTTCCCGACGATTGTGCCGCTAGAATATGATTACAAGCTTTCTCGCATTCCAGGGGCCAAACGTCTTTTGTGTTGTAGAACAAAGAGGATATTCATGAATATTAAGTGTTGCGTTTTTTTTTATACACCCTGTATATGCAAGGCTTTGAAGAGGCCACTCCGAGGATCCAAAAGGTAAAAGCTGCAAATTTTTAAGCGCATCAAATTATAGCGCATGCGCAGATACTCCATGGGGATGACTGAGAACTCTGACTGAGACTGGGGAGTGCTGAGACGGTGACGCCGGCTTCGTCTCCGTTTTCGCCGTATCACGCCAAAGTAGTGCTCTTAACATGAAGTACGTAGACCAATTTCCGGGGTTAATATTCGTATTTTCTAATTATCGATATTAGCTACAGAGTACAGAATGCTATCCTTTTAATGCTTGAAAGCAAAATTAAACAAGTGTATAATAATTTATAAGAACTTTTTTTCTTAGTATATTTTCATGATCAATTTCCATGATGTTTGCTTGTCATTTCTCTTTTTCTTACTTCACGTGGTTTTGTTAAATTACCCGAAAAATAATGTAAATTCCATCGATAAAGGTAAGACGTTTTAAGAGTTCTTATTTTAAAAGCTAGTGTTCCTCGTTGCCTCGTGAAGAAATGTCATTTTCAACGGCATTTATACCAATCTGTTTGATTTCTCACCCTCTAGTTCTCAGACCCAGAAGTAGCACTCCCCCCCCCCTTTATAGTAGGTTGTTACCAGCACCCCCCCCCTTCTTGCTAAACATTGCCTAAATATGATTAGCATTTACTAAAACAATTTACCAACAGAACAACCATATGACTTAGTGGTTGGAATCCTCTCGGCAAGAGGTAACTTTTACCTGAGAGAAAGTTTGCGTCAGACATGGGTTGGCCACGCCCAACATCACTCCTCTCTCAAAAAAAGGTGCTGATAAGTCTATTTGAACTGACGTACTTAATCACTAACTAACTCTGATGTAACTAATATACAAAACATTTTACTCTGCAGAATTTTAATCAAATTTATCATCTCAAATTATTCATGTCCAATACCTCCAGAGTTTCGTTTCGACCCATACAGATGTGAAAAGGATGGTCTCAAAGATATTGGTACCTAGCTACATAACTTCTAAATCAACCTTTTAAAAGTATCATACATATCTTTATTCCATATATTATATAAATTATGCACAAATGTATTTATGAGGCTCAGGTATTTATTCCTTATCAGATCTGAGCTGTCAATGTGAGACAATAAAGTACTGGTAATTATAAATGGGATTGTGCCTTTAGATTTTGATAAAGAACTGATTGCGTATCAAGTACCAGAAGATATTTCTTTACCTTATCATCATGAAGGATCTGTTGGAATAGACTTCAATGTATGGGTTAATTGTTGTCCATCAAATAGAACACATTGTCATGTTAATAAAAGGCAGTCATAGTCTTAATACTCAGAGTACTTTATTTAGGTTTTATACCCAATAGTTATAACAAGTTTGGGAGTTTCTGTAAATGGTTTGAAGGAGGAGACAACTTTGAGACTCTATGACAGAATAACCAAGGTAGCGGTCAATAGATTGATGGGCTTTTTTCTGAAAATGTTGGGTGTGTGCTTTCTCACATGTGAGTATAATCAACAGAAATGAATTCTAAATTGTAATTTGTGGATTATATAGAAAGAAATAGTCAGGGCTCATTTTACTGTTCAAAGTCCAGGTGTTTTGGTAAATAACAGTTGGTTTAAAACAGTGCCAAACTATGTTTTGCCAAAGGTTTGTTTAAACTTTTACGATAGTGTGTTGTATGATAGATCAATGAGGCCTAAAAGAATGCAAATTTAAACAAATTTAAAAATTGCAAATTTAAACTTAAACAAATTTTTTAGTGCATTAACCTTATATGCAGAACGCAGTGTGAGAAATCGGTAATTTATCTCATGAGTGCAGTAGAGAAGAATATATAAAACTCGGGTATAATTAGGTGGTATTTTTTTAGGGGTTCCAAGCCAGTATTGTGGCTGAAAATGCAGCATGTGTAAGCCCCAGGTGTAAAAAATGCGAGGAATTCGTGACAATTCAAGACAACGGTGGTTTGTTTAAGACCCTGAAGGTACGCGATATCTCATTTTTCATTTTAAAAGGTTTGAAAAATAATAAAACGTAATGTAAAATGGCTCCTCTAGAGCTAGAACAGACTTTATGGTTAGAGGCTACACTATAAACTGCTGTCTACACTTCACAGTTTCACATGCACGCTCTTCCAAAAACCAACAAAACGTTCGGTAAAAATAGAAATCACAGTTCACAACTTCGTACCCAGGGGCTCAGGATTCGTAGGGGGAGGAGAAGTTCCTGGAAAAGGCTGCCCGCGTGACTCACCTGGTACAACCAACGTGGGCAGTGACAGGTAGAAATCATAGGTACTACTAACTAGGGCTCCGGGAATAAATGGAAAGTGAAAACATTTTTTCGAAACCTCTCCCAAGGTGAGACGATTTGGCAAAGATGTTGGAATATTTCCAGGAATTGAAGAGACATTTCCAGAAAAAAATTGTTTGCAAGGTACAGGAACCTTTATGTATCGACCTCATGGTAAGTACACGTATCGCATATGGGATTTAAAGTTTTGCTTGGTTCAAAATTGTTCTCGTAGTTTTTCACTCTTTGCATATAGCATTTTTCTAGAGGTATTTAAAAAGGTCTCGTCTCTCTGTAACAGTGCCAATGGGCGTTTTCGTTTCTAACATTTTGAAATAAACCATAATACAGGAATACACAAAAAGCGACTAATCAGGGTCCAGCTCTGGTAGTTAGCAGGCTTTGAGCAGCGAACTCTTGAAGCACTATCCAGATATTGTGTTAAGATCAGAGTCCACTATGCCCGCAATATTATACCGCGTTCTCTTAACTCCTCCAGGTCCTGCTCCGGGCAAAATGAAGTTGACCGCGGAGCAAAGAAAAAATAGAATCGCAGAATGGAAACGGTTGAAACAAGAGGAGAATATTCGTTTTCGTTGTACAAAGAAAGTAGAAAATATTCGGATATCATCTTCGTTCCAAACGTTGATGTCTACAGAAATCTACCTTCACAGCTGCTGGAGTTTTTTCGCTGGTACAAAAAACTTGTGTTGTGCTTCTTGGGAGCTGTTTAAATGAGCCCGGTTACCAGAGATTCAACGAAACGTGAGAGGACTTTAAGGTATTGAAATAAGTCTTTATGAAACCAAACAAGCACATGCTGTTGTTGTGGTAATTATACGACTGCCAGGATCTTGTTATCTGCTCATTTCAATACCTTAAAATCGTCTCACGCCTCGTTGAATCTCGGGTAACCGGGCTCATGTAAACAGCTTCTTAGAGCCTATGCTTATGTATTTACTTCTCTTTCTGGTCTTCGCCCAGGTCGGCAACATTTTTCTGACCGATCAGTCCTGAACCTAGTTGCAACTGATAAAACGTCCATCAATATCTTTGCAAAATGCAGTGCTTTCAAATGTTACCGCGTAGATCATTATAGACGTAGGTCATCATAGACGTAGATCATTATAGACGTAGGTCATCATAAACGTAGGTCATCATAGACCACCCATAGTCCATGTGGTGAAGTCGAACGGTCAATACCGTCATTTTAGTTTAAACTTAGCTTAGACGCTTTCTCAATCTGATGAAATATGCGGGGAACTTGATCGCTATAAATCTGAATGTTTTTTCTTTGCATGCAGGATTACCAAAAATGTATCGTTTTCTTTCGTCCTTAAAACAGACGACGATTGCTTTGTGGATTTACAAGGCATTCTTCAGGTATGCCGAAAGTTTTCTTAATCTTGATCATGACATCGGGTGATGTCTTTATAATTGGAACCTCAAAGAATATATAAAATTTTCATTTTTTGTGGCGATTTTGTTTTCAGGGAATCGATGACCATAAACTGCGAAATAAATCTAAAATCTGGTGGGGCAGGTACTGAAGTGTATGAAAATCACTTTTGTATTCTTTACTCCAAAGCCTTTACCCCATCCGAGTTTCATTTCCTGCGTCTTTTTACATTCCAGCTTTCGAACTGATTGGCTCATCGAACGTCAGGGTAAATGGGCCGAACCCGACTATCCAGGTGTGACTTACCCAACGTTTGCCTGCGGTGCAGGAAGTGTACTGTCCGCAGATCTTGTACACTGGATAGCGAAAAATGCAGACTCCTTGAAACGATACCAGGTAATACCTGAAAGCTCACTTGAACTGGTTTTGGGACAGTGGAGATATGTTTTTTTGGATGCTTTTTTTTCTCCTACAAACCTGTCTCGTTCCAAGACTCAAACTTTTGAACCGAGATGCCGTGCTCTTATCACAGACTATACTCGGACGGCTTTTCCCACTGTGAGAATGAGAGTTTGAAATTATAAAGATCTTTTGCAACACTGCCAGCCAAAGATCGGCAGCCATCTTTGGGAGATGTATAGCTGTGGCAAACTACAACTCTTGCTGTTGTTGGTTGGTTTTAGGGGGAAGACGTGTCAATGGGTATTTGGCTGTCGGCTGTTGGACCAACAATGATTAAGGTAAATCTATAAAGCATCTATTTTGCAATGCGATATTTTATTCAGTTGGAATGTGTTTCTTCAGCATGCAAGTATACGAAAGGCCTTAACATCGCAGGTGTTTTTTAGTTTGTTTTTTATGTTTTAGGATCAGCGGTGGTCATGTTTTCAAGAATGCTACAAAGGAGTTCTCAGCTCGCCCGAACAAGACAGCGAGTCTTTGATAGATATGTGGGAGAACTTTCAGAAGTGTTGAAATCCTTGTAAGTGTTGATTTCCATTCATTCATTCATTCATTCATCAAAGAATATTGAAAAATCTGCGGGTCACGAGTTGCGTTACTTTTACACTGTAGTCATTTTTAAAAGGGGAAAAAGGCGGCTTCTGCGCATAGGTTCTGCGCATAAAAATGAGATGCTTGCTGACTTGAGGATTACTCAATTCTGATCTTTTTAAATTTAAAAGTTTAAGCATAGCAGTGGAATATTGTTTTAGTTCTGGCGTACAAAATGTAAACAAAGCAATTGTCTACATCACACATGATATTCGCTTAACAAAGAAATCTTACATGCAATTACGAATTTTGATTTCTGAACGAACGAGCATGAATGACGGTATAAATAACATCCAGTAGACGCTTGTCCGCCATTAATTACTCCGGGCAATGAATGTTTCATGGTAATTAATACTCTGACCAATCAACACGCCGAACTTGTTTCCCGCCAATACTCTGAGGTCCGAGTTGTCGATTGCAAAAGAATCGTGTTCATGATTTTTTGTCTGAGTGGTTCTCAACGTACATACTTTCTACCGTTACACAATACACTGCAGTCCTTGTAAATATCGTGTACCGATACATGTCACATATTTTACCTAAATTCCGCTATATTACATTTTGTTTATCTCTATAGCATACAGGAAATTCATTTATTTACAGTACAATCTGATTGATTTAAAACTATGTACCAATCACCGCGTCCTCAATTGTTTTTTAATGCCCGCAAAATTTCAGGAAGCGGCAGTCAATTATTGGAAAGCCTTTAAACTATTTCAACCGTGTTTCAGGGGCTAACCGAAACAGCGATTATCCGAAAGCTAGTTATCTACTGTGTTCGTTGCTACTTATTTATCTATCTTGCGCAAACCATGTCCGGGCAATATTTCTAAATTATTTGGCACAAGCCAGAGGATATTGTTGTTTTTTTTACAGTTAATTACTTCAAGAGTGTTAAAATATTGTAAAATTTCGATCGGAATTTTGCGCGAGGATAGCTAAGGCCAGCACTCGTATAAATAGGTAAAGTCTACTCATTCGCGACGCTTAAATTTGTCCACCATAAGCTGCGAATGCTAGAATTTAATCGGCCATTTATACAGGTCTATTTACAATAGGCGTTTCGTCTACTGACCTACACTAGATAATATAGGTCAGTGGTTTCGTCGTATACAATTCTTACCCTGGCGTATGTGATCGAGTGAGCATGCGTACAGACGTCAGATTTTGTTCAAATTTCGCCAGTGAACTCTATGCAGTAACTGAAACGATAATTGACGGTTAATCGGCCGCCGTTATTTTTGGAGCCAATTTGACGTTAAATTCAGCTTTCAAGATAGTGGCTTCCAAGTTGTCGTTCCAGTCTCCATATATTTCACTTGCGAAATGTTACATAGGCACTCGTTTCAATTCGTCAGAATGAGAGTCGGCTAGAACAAATCGTATCCGATGAGAGTGCCTTAGGCAGTGTTCAAAACCGTCACGTGGATTCATTTGAGATATTCGACATCACAGTCAGTGTCTCCTCGTCTGAATTGCTGTTCTGTTTCGGGATCACCAGAAAATGCTCCTGTTTTCCTGCATTTTTGATGTCCTCAATCAAGCTCCCGCCTTTTTCCTCGCGCGTGAAAACGCTTCCGTTACTCGTCGTGCTGTCGGCGGCGACCGAGCGCTTTCTTCGGCGCTTGTTGGAGAATCCGTTGCAATCCCGACTGCTTTCCGTCTCGCTGTCGACCAGAGCTATTTGAAAATCGGCATTGTGAATTTTGAAGTCGTCGTCTTCCGGGCTTGTGTTGCTCTCCTTTCGTCTGCTTTCTCGGGCAAGTTTACTCTCAAAAATGGCGAGTTTTGCACTCAGATTGCGAATTTCTTCCTGTGGAGATGAAATTTCGTAATTAGCACAAAACTAAGTTACGAGGAAATTAATTTAGCACCCATGCAACGACCTTTCTCAATATACGAGCTACCAAAAGTGTGTCCTTTAAACTTTAAAACACACCAACAGAGACCTGGCACTAATTTCATTCAGAAGTTACGGTGATCGCTGGTCATAGTAAGACTAGCAGTAAAGCATTGCGCTGTTTTTAAAAACGAGCTATTTGCATATACGTTTCCAAACCAGCAGTCCTCCGCCGGAATCGCCAATTCACGGCGATGCGTATAGCTGGTGTTTTATCCAGTCCTTGCTTTTTGGTCGGTAATTATAATACCCTTCGCAGTCCAGGTTAAATTCATAGTGCAGTGTCACGTACCCGCAGTTGAGCGTTTTCGGTTTCCAGTCCCAGCACGGTTTTCTCTTCCTCGGTCTCACACACCAGGGTGCCGTCGACCAGGCGATTTAAATGAAATGGAGATTTGCGAAGATCCGTTCCGTTTGTTGACGTCGCGGAGTTCGACCGGCGTTTTCGCTTCATGTCTTTTTTGAATTTTCGAAGGAGATAGATCTAAAGAAATCAAGATTATTGCCTCGTCAATGGCGTGGGCTTTTAGGAAAAGTGCTGGTTTTTCTATGCTCTGGTTTTGCTCAGTAAATGAGATGTTCAGACTACGTTTATGCTATGAATATTTTAACTACAAAGAATGTAGATCAGACAGAGATTAAACTAATGTTATTGTGAAGCACACGCGATACCAAGTGACCAGCGGTTACGCACGTGAAGTTTTTTGAGGACGACGCTCACCTTAGACATGAAGAGTAGTACCAGCATGATCGTCGCTACGACGTGAGTCGAGAGAAAGTCGACAACATACGACACATCCGGGTTATGAAAATTATCCAAAACGATCCTGTATCGGCGAAAGATATAAGATTAGTAAGTAGAAAGATTAGTAAGTGAAATACTAAGTAAAATTTGATTAGGAATTTAAGATTTTGGATTTAAGATTGGTTTTGTGATTGAATACCCACCTCAACAACCCAACCAGGATCATTATAAAAACGGTGTTGTAAATACACCAAGCAATGTATTTACTTTCGTTATACGCCGATGGTGCATTGCGAACTCGTAAACATAACCACACTCCCCAGAGAAGAAGAAGCACTTCACCTACAGAAAAACAAAACGTTAATACGGCGAAAGAAATATAGTGTTGAATAATCTATCATCCTTTGCGCGCTCGAGCGCTTTTCAAGGAGAACGTGAACCGAATTTGCCGTATAGATCTAGGCCTTTATCAATGGTCTGCGCTTCGACGTATTTGGGTATAATCGCCCGTTATTGGGTATAATTTTGAATAAATCTTAGTATTCATAAATCGAAGATCCTCTTTGCCAATTATTGGTTACGAAGCTGAAATTTTAATGCTCTTCAAGCATTTTTAGAACGGTTGAAAAACCACTATCCGGTGGATAGCGCTATCCGGCTTTCATACAACTGGCCCCTGATTGGTGTAAACTGGGCGCATAGGTCAAATAGCGGCATAATTTGCCCGCAAACTATGTCATAATACTGACTTCAATGTTTAAATGATGTATACCTATTTCAATGGCGTTTGCGAACCATCCGCGAACGCAGCGCCTGTATTTATATCCGCCGCTTGTCTTCTTAACTTCAAATTCGTGCGTCTGTGTCCAGGTCCATATCATGAGGTAGCACATCACAGCGACCAGCATCAACAACAAATACTTGATTAAGGTCTTGTCCGTGAGCTCTATCATTTTTGCGGTACGCAGACGAAAGATTACGGCAATTCTAGTGAAAATATTAATAGGTATATCATTTTTATCAATTGAGAATAGATTAATTCCGCATATAATTCGGGACAGTTTGTTATGCACGAAAGGAATTAACGGGAGTTTTACGTACCTCCAAGTTTTCAGAAGAAGCGATCCGAAGGCGAGTATAAAACCACCATGGTAGAGCCAGGATCTTGCGATGCAAAGTAAGACAGAGTCTTGAAAATATCCCAGCGTTATCTAAACAGCACACCATACACCGAATAAGCAAGATATACTCAAGTCGTGGGGATAAGTTTTGAAACACATGTGGCAGATAGCTAAGAAATGCCAGAGAATTTTAACTTGAATTCTGAGTATTCATTCAGTACCTCGAAATACATTAGGATGATCCCAAAAGCTATCATTTCCATGAAGACAGGACTGGATGCTTTTATTATCTAGAAAGTGAAAGTAATTTGAGACTTGAGTTGTAAAACGTTTTATTTTGTACTGTTTCATAACTGTGATACTACCAGATTGTCCTGTACTTCTCGATACTGCACTGCACTGTGGTATAGTGTTCTGTATTGTCCAGTTCATTTCAGTAGTATTGTCCAGTACAGCAGTACTGTTCTGTACTGTATTGTCCTGAATTGTCCACTACTGTAATGTATTGTCCAGTCTGTGCTGTACTGTATTAGCCAGTACTGTACTGTATTGTCAACGCCTGTACTGAACTGTATTGTCCAGTACTGTACTGTATTGTACCGTATTTTTCACAGCACTATTCTCCTTTCTATTGTAGTGCATTACACATTTTAAACCTAAACATACAGTGTATTCTAGTATCTTTCCAACTGTGCCCTAGCTAGTTTCTCTTTCTATGTAGTTTAAAATAAATAAGGACCAACTACCTTACTCTCCCGGTAGACAAAAACGAAGATACCCAAGAAAATAGCGAGGGCTTTGATAATTTCATTGATGACCAAGAACACAGTCCTTAGCGACATGTTTCGTTGATACATACATGGCGTATCATCCACGCACTCGTCACATCCCTCACGACACGGTAAACAATCGTACAGACTGTAGTTTGAACCGTTACTTTTTGCCGCCATAACCTCGCGTCCATTAAAATACTTCTGTCTTGCATTCGGACGAGGGAAATAAAAACCTTTTCGACAGACACAACGATAGTTTCCACCCTTGAAGCCTCCTCCGTGGACATGAACACACTGGAAAAGAAAATTTTAACATTACAGGCATTTCACAAAAGCTTTTGCGAATCTGTTCCCCTCTCATAACCGAGAGGGACTCTCTCATTTTCTCTGATTAAGCAATTGCCTAAACTGAACTATAGCGCATGTTCACGTTTTCTGGACATAGATCCATCTCATATTCAGAAATTGTGTTCAGTAAATTCTCACAGTACATTTAAGAAAAATAATTCAAAATAAACTTATCAAATTGATAGTTTACACTTTACTTTACGGACTATAAATGATCTTAGCGCTTCAAATTATGAATTGTGTTTAGTTAATTTTCACAGTACATTAAGAAAAATAATTCAAAACTTATCAAATGGATAGTTTACACTTTACTTTACGGACTGTAAATGATTTTAGCGCTTCAAATTATGATAATATAACGTTTATCGGTTTAGACGTTTATCAAAACATGAATAGTTGGAAGACAGACAAATAGGCGTCTGTTTAGCTCAGTATGAACGGTAACCGATCATGAATAGATAAAAAACATTATATGATTCAAAATTCTTTGAATTTGTATTTTCGCCGCACCCTCCCCCAGGTTAGTAGTGAGAAATGGTTTCAGCATAGGCCTGTGTTGAAGCAGCTTTACATTGTGTGTAAAAAAGGTAATCCAGTTTCAGCTGATCGTAAATTATTTGACATTTGTTTTGACATTAAGATGGATCAGGCTTTTTAGCTTTTGCATGTAATTTATTTACCCTTACTGGTTAGAAAAATGTTAATAAATCATTATTAAATGGTTACATGACATATTTTTGTGCCATTTGGAAAGGAACTAAGGAAGGTTAGTATGAAATTGTTATCTATCATTTCAGTTTCCTTATAGAGTTCAGTGAGCATACCTCTGTCGTAGTGTTTCGACACGCGTGAGCTCCGTAGAACTGGACTTTCCGAACACCGTCCGGCTCAGGACGAATGGAGGGTGGCGCGTCACATTCGTCGATTTCAATGGAGTCGAGCTCGATGTCGAAGCTCACACAACCTCTACAGAGCAGAAATATATTTTGATTAATATAGACGATCATGAAGTGCTTGTGGACAGTGGCCGTGTTGCGAAAACTCATACGAGGGGGGGGAGGGGTGGAGGGGGCAGAAGCGTAGGGTTGGGGTGGGGTAGGGACTTGCTCATACAATAGGGGTACTGCTGACACATTTTGCCGTGGTTGGGCCAAGTTCACAAGGAAATATATTCAAGGCTCCAGACATCAAAATGTTGGTTTTGCTTTGTTCGCTAAACAAGTCAACGGCCTCCAAATGTGTTGGGGAAAATGCCAGGAATTGCACGAAACAAACTTCGGTGCTCCCTATATTTAATATTGACGATTTGAATACTTCAAAGTGGCCAGTTTGCCGCAGACTACAAGGCTAGCAGTGCCATAATTCTGCTACTTTATATTCCTCTATATCTGCTCCGAAAATCGATTGCTATAGTAACATTATATGCTTTATACCAAGTGAAGCGCCGCCAGCAATATACTTGCTTCAGCACCATGTTTCGTTTGCAAAAAAAACACACAATATTGACGACGTTTTCCGTGGGTGTCACTAAGTGTAACACAAAAACAGATCATAAACATAGTACTCAACTTCAGTCAGGCCGAATTGACCAAAACACATGTCTCAATTCTACTTAATTGCACACGACCACAAGTTAAACTGTGTATCGCACGCAAAGAATAATCGTTGTTTTTTAGCTTTGTCAAAATAATACAGGTTCACCGCTATCACTCATTTCACGAAAATGCTGTGAAGCATTTATGATAATGCAGGCTATTGTGTTATGAAGCAAAACTTGTAGATAATGCTAGCTCAACTGATAAGCCTCGATGCAAAGTAAATAAGCGACAAGCAATGCAAATACAGTAAACTATGTGTATTTTCGAATTTAGAAATACGGTTTCACACGCGTTTGTTGACATTAGGATTATATTTATGCAAATACTTGTTTGGATGCTGAAACGAGATAACACCTGCTTGAGACGTGAGAAAAACACAACACTTCAAAAAGCCTTTTGAGAATTGATTGAAATATCAAGGCTCGAAGTTGAGAGGCCATTATTCATATTTATATTCATATCCATTCATCTTCTGCAACAATCATGCTTCATCAAATCAACATTTTTATTCTGAACTCCCCCGATAATAGCAAAAAATTTATGCTAATGTTTTATTGTAGTACTGATTGCCGTAAACAAAATGATTTTCGGTTTAAGACAAATTAAGGCAGCGATCTTTTTTATAATCCCTAAATGAAATATTCAAATTAAATACGACGAGAACGTCGATTTTTGACTTGTTTACATCACGAATGAAAGTACAACGGAAGTTAGCTGAAGTTCCATAGTATATATCAATATATAGGCCTAGTCTAGAGAAACTATTCAAGCAACTTTTCACAATTTGAACAATTTCACCAGTTCAAACTTGTTTCACATCGAGATATAGGAAATTACATATCGATAAACGATGTTCGCAAAAGTACGCGACCTACGTTTCATATATGAACACTGTCATGCACTTGGCAGTAATTGACAAATGACAATGAAATATTACATTCTGATTCTATACTCTAAAGCGAAACGTCAACTCGCATTCCAAATTTTACTTTCAAGTTCATGAAAGTTTTATCCTAGATTCGTATAGGAATTTGTTCTTTTTGCATTGACTCCCTATGAATATGTTTCTCGGAAAATTCAACAATATCGCTGACTTGGGGGGAAATTCCTAAAGTTTTTATCAGAATTCTTAGAGTTGTTTTCGAGGTGTTCCGCGGACTGATACGCCACTTACAGCCTGTTGCCAAGTGCCTATAATTAAAATAGAAATAAAAAAAACACGACGAACGTGCAACAAGTTGAAGTGATGCCAATGTAATAGAATAGACGAGTAAAAAAGGATTATTTATTGTGTCATTCTTCTGCAATAGCAATGTAGGCATTGAAGAAAGAAGTGCGATAATATATGGAACTTTATGTAAGGTTCATATAGTCGGCATTACAGAAAATTTAGGAAAAGCTGTAGCTTATAGCTTATGTATTCTTTGTTTCGAAAGAAGCACAGTAAAGTTATATCATCTTGGTAAGGTTCATAGTCGGCATTCCAGAAAATTTAGGAAAAGCTGTAGCTTATACTTTGTTTTGAAAGAACACAGTAAACTTATATCATCTTGGTTGGTCCTCTCCTAGTGGATTGAGACTATTTGCATTACATTTTAATCGTGTTATCGACATTTTGATGTGCCACAACGATGAAAAATACGATGACGTTTGTAGAAGTTTTGAAAAATCAACCAAGATGGCGGCGAAAAAAACACGGCAATATTATTTCGAGCAACAATAAATTTCCTTTTAATAACAAACGAGCCTAAAATACCACATCGGCTCTTGTCTGATGGCTTTAATGCGGTCGGTGCATGGGTTTAGCTTGCCCGTTTTATTCACACGATAATCCCCGCAAAGGATTATAGATACCGAATCCATATACCGCCATTTTTTTAGAATCGAAAATAGTCTGCCCACAGATCGTTCTATCCCGCAGACAGTCTACAGTTTAGTTTTCAACTAGAGATATCTATCTATATCGTCTTCATACAGGCAGTTTGTTCGGTTGAGAGCTATATTTATAAGCAAAAGCAAAATCTTAGCTTGGCGCGAAAGGTTACAGTTGAAATCCGGCTTTAGCTATACACACGAATGTGCGTTCAAAACAAAAGACGATTTGCTATCGAAACATTATGTATATATGGCAAGTCATCTAAAATGTGAGACATCTCTTTGTTTGTAAGTTCCTGTGAGCGTAAATAATAATAGTCTGCCGCGTTGAAATATTTGGCAAGTAAGAATTAAGTATTTACTATAGGATGGGAATAGAAAAGTTCACAATTCTTTTCAAGTATCGGAGTACAATTCTTTTCAAGGCCCTTAAGATTGGCAAGATGGATGAATAACGATGCATGCATATATACGTGCTATACGCATTCGCGAAAAATATATATACTGATGAATAAGCTGCATTCCTCAAAACAGACATGCTTTTTTCCATAATACCTACTTCTCCAAACGTGCAATTTCCTATGCAAATCATCCGCCCCGTGTCTACATTAATTACTCGACGATAATTAAAATTACTTTCAACGCGCAAGTAATCAATTTTTCGCCCCTTTTCTTTCAAATGAGATAAGCTAACATCACACATTAAGCACGCAAACAACTTTGATGTATTTGAAACAAACTTTACAGTCTATCGCTGACATATCAATACGACAATAGTTTGCTCTAAATCAGTAAATTGCAGGATTCAAGTGTCTCTGGATGGGGCCGTCTTACCATATAGGATTCGCATGCGAACCATTCCGGCTTTTTGTGAAGAATGTCCCTCACGAAGAATGCTCGAGACAGACACATTTTCGATTGCCGAGGGGAGGGGTTGACAATCCCAACACATTTCTGATGTGCCCTACCACCTGGGAAACGGTTAAATCATGTTAAATTTATCAACAGGCAGTTTCCCATACGGCTGTCTAATTTAATGTTCGGTCATTACTCGTGACCATTTTCTCGTGAAATGATTTCAATCGTCAGTGCCCGCGATTTATCACTTTATGGATAGACAACCTATTAACTGACAATAATTCGTCCAGATGCGTGACAGACCTCGCTAGATATTTGACTAATATCAACTAACTTTGGTCCTTTTAGTTTGGAGCACAAACAATTGGCAGATCAACCCTGAAAACTATATCCCAGCGTCGTTGTTAATCGAGCCTTTATTTAGTGCTGAGGCAAAGTAGCACATAGAATTGATAACATATTCAAATCCTGAAAATCTATTCGAGGTTTAATTTGCCCGTTCAGGGCTTTTGAACTTCGTTTACTGATTTATTCATGTGATGTTTGCAGTTCAGTGATCAGAGTTTGAATTGCGCATAGTTTGAATGGGAATAGGAGTTTGCTGGAAATATTTCACATTGTTATTTGTTGCAAATTCCTCCGGACCCAACCATATACATATACGCACGTCGCACGCGCAATTGCAATTTTAGAAGCTGTGATTAGCTGTCGCAGAAAAACCAGCGCCTTTGTGAACCAATCGTGTACAAAAGGAGTTGGTGAAATGCTCTCCTGCGTTTCCGAACCCAACCCAGCAAACCAAAATTTTTTTTTTCCAAAATAATTGTAACGAATATGAAGAGTGAACACAATATTGAGGTCAAACGGTCAAGCGTTCTTCTAATTTTGATGAGTATTGAACACGTTGGAAAACGCTTCACAGATAACCGAATAAACCGACTGTGAGTGAAAAGTTTTGAATTGTGCGCATTGCTTCAGAACTTATAACAATCCCTTCGTCCCTAATATCCTGAGACATTCCTTACAACGTTTATGAAGAAATACTGGCTTGGATCAAGCAAGTAGAATTCTGCCGTGGTCCGCTCTAAAGTTTGTTACCTGAAAATTGGTCAGTAAACATTTGCGCATGCACTATTTTAGTTCAGACGGATGACCAATGGCTAATCGTCGGCGCTAAACCGCGTTTCGAGTATTTCGTATGATAAAATCTTGTTAAGCTTTGCGTCTTGCAGATTGAATTGTACTTATAAGTACAAGTACACTACAATCATTACAGGCGAATACCTATCGCGCATCTAATGCTTGCTAAATATCATGAAACTTGAGCCACTGTTTACTTCAAGCGCCGACTGCGGTTGAGATAAAACCCCGAACAGTATCTTGTATTTATATTCCCTTCGAATTATTTACTTTCACAATTCACACTCTAGCTCAATTCCGGCTTCAACAAGTGACCAAACGCCACGAACTAGCTCGCCTGACTTTTGACTTTAGTCATTTTGCCATTGTATTTTGCTAACCAGATCTGGTATTCTATCAGTCAATCCTATTATTATTATTATGATTGACGGCGTAGAGAGTTAAGCGTTAAATCCACCTGTTTTCATTTTACTGTCAGTACTGTGCGTATGTTATTCGATATGAAATTCCGGCCACATGGACACGTTCAAACAAGTCACCGTGCGCTATTTTCACATGTTTCGTCCAAGACATACAGCCTTAGGACGCTAAACCTTGTATTCGTACGCTTAATCGACGCAATGGCCAGCATAAAATTACGAATTCTTATTATATTTTGTTATCGCACGATTACAGCACCTGCCTGAACCTAATCACAAAGCGAACACAACTGTCGGAGGTCGGAGCAACAAGGAAGCGCTAAAACCATTCCAGATGGCTGATGTACGTTAACCCTTTAAAATGTTCTTGACAAAGACAAAAGGCTGCTGGAAAAGCCCAAAACGCCTTTCGGGACACGACAACATACGTTCATTACCAGCCACGTCCACGCTGTATTTATTGTTTTAAATCAAATGTACGCACTTGCGATAAATATTCATTTGTACGCGATAAAATCTCACTGCTTTTCGTCACTTGTGTAGAAAACATTTAGCGTCAACACTCTAGCCTATAGACTCCTCGCATCAAAAAATACACGCTTCGATTATCTATCTACTCAGTCTAAATGCGCGCAAGAGCCAAGCGTTTCGGCCAAGTTGAACGTAAAAAAAGCAAGGCTTTCTTCTTCATTGTCCAACTCATGCAATGCGGGTTTGACCAGTTTGACCTATTGTTGTATTGGCGAATATTGGCAAAATCCCAAACAAAAAATTTCTGATAATGTATTATTCCATTTAGTGTTTGACGACTGTCGAATAACATATATCAGACACGAATAATCATTTCACCTGCTGGTAACTTTGCCTATACATAAACGTTAAATACGATTTGGCAAAAAGCCGATACCGTCCGCGAATTTTAAGCTCTGCGGAAGGCGTTCGGTCGAAATAAAATTGACATGTAATCTTTTAGGATTGTTGCTGGATTGTTTCGACATTTAGATGCGCGTTTATATTTCGATTATTTTTATTAGTATTGTTTTGGAATAGTGGATCAATGTCTAGACGGTTTAAACCTCTGGCCACCTGCGAAGCTGCCTTGCTTCGTACAACAAAACACAAAGACCATTCTCCATGCATATATGCATCTGAAAAATGCATGTGGCGTATAGTGCCTTGTTTGTGTCGAAAACACTTGGAGATACGGCTTCCTTAACATTTAAAGTGTCTAGCATTTCCTGTTTTTCAATAGAACTAGCCTCGCTTCAAAATTCAATGCCAAATGTATAGAATGTTCGTACTTTAATCAGTTGTTCTTACGCTTTTCATTCGCCTACTTAATATGTTACTAATTGCAACAACGGATCCTGGTTCGGTTTAATAACGCAATCCAAACTTTTGCCCTACTATTTGTCTACAAAAAATACTTACAAGAATTCATTCAATTCGTTGTAAAACGGTGCCAGATAGGTGATCATCCATGTTTTCCCTCCAAAACAATCGTAGTACGGCGTTGTCCAACGTCCATATTGCATTGGAATATAACTCGAAGTGATGTTATAATATTTTCCCTGTGGGAAAATATTTTGACTGGCATTGCCGAGGTTGTCCAAGTTTAAGTCGTAGTACACGGTTTTTTGGCCAAGTTCTGCGCCTTTCGAAAGGTATTCACGGCCAACATGCCACCACACAAAAGTATACTTTAAGAAACCATGGGTTGGATGACTGGTTGGTTTCGTAAGGTAGTCAGCTTGTCTTCCTAGATCGCGAACGATCGTGTGATTCTCCTGCGAGTTATTCTTAAAAGCGTACGGGCAAAATTGCCGCTTGTCCTGAAACTTTCCCTCATCAAAGCATACGACAGAACCGAAGATTTTTTTCGACGATAATGCAACATTCTGTGCCAGCGTGTATATAGCTGGCGCATTCTCCAATATCGAACGATTATGTTTGTCTTTATAACGCCACATCGATGTAAGGTAATTTGCAACTTGATTCACTGTTCTGATTTCATTGTTCCAAAATGAATAATCTTGCAAGATGTGTTGCATTCCCAATAGATTAAAGTCCTCCGTACACGGAGCCGACTTCATCTTGTCGTCGATGACTTTTCGATACATTAATATCAACCGTAGATCGTGGTTCTTGTTTTGAGGCTGTCCAAACACTTCATGGTTAAATATGAACAGTGCGTAAATCAACCAGGAAATCGGTTTTACTGCGGCCATATCTTGAGTCAAGCGCTTTACGAAGCGGCCGAGTTACAAGTCGCTTCGCTTCGGTAATTCATTTACAGAATTCAAAATATTTCAATATATGCCTATAAGATTCGATCCTTAACTTAAAAGCAAGCCACTTCAACCGAACGCCTTCGTCGTCAAAATATAAGACTCAAAGTCTAGAAGCCCCTCTTGTTATTCCATCACACCGGAATTCGCAAGTCAACAAACATTTGCAAGCCTCATTAATTAACATATAATTTATTTTTCTTTTTTTCTCGAGTCTTTGTGAGGACTTGGCGTAGGATATGTGAGATTCCTATTTGGCACTATTGAAACACGCAACAAATAAGCATCCTATGGCTCCCCCAAACCACGCGGGGTTCCTGTAACTCGATCTCGTTCCGAATCGCAATGCGATGGCTTCGTTTGTATTATATAATTTCGTCTACGTATTAGTTTATATTCTCCCAATACAGGAAGGCCAGTAATTGTTGTCATTAAATATGGAAAATATTCGCCATGTAAATAGCATTGACGTGGGGTTAGTCATCACTCAACACGATCGAATTTCACACGGACGCGTGTACATTTTCGTGCTTCAACTTTGTCATCTGTCAACATCACATGAATCGTAGACATAAATATTTGTAAAGCTCTGCCTGGAATATAGAATCCAGGGGCAACACTGCAACACGTTACACCCGCCCCCCCTGCCTCCCACCTACTCTAAAGTGATAACGAGAAGGCAATCATTTCATTTCTTTTTCAAGCGTGTTTTAAAGGCAATTGCTCTACCGAAAAAGTGACCCCCTGACTTTACTGGATTCCAGGCTCCTGCTGTTGCAGCCCGAAGCGAGTTCTTGCACTTTTATGAAGAATACAAATAATCTACTACATTCAAGACGGAATTTTATTCCGGCGAATTAACATTAACATGAGCCAAAGCTCTGTATTATTCAGTTAATGTTGTTTTCCTGCAAAAGCACAAGCGAGAACGTCACGAAGCGACGCACTGCACATGCGCACAATCTCAAATGAAGACGCAATTAAAACAAGTTTACGCAGTTAAGCGAAAATAAACTTATTTGCTTTTCTATTTTTTGTACAAATCCAGATTCATTTGAATCTATCTTCCAATTAGGCTTCGTTATCTCAATCTAATATCTTTTTAGATCGAAAGCACGGGGTTCATTCATTTCAGATAAGTCAATGAAAAATACTTCAAATAAGGAATGGATTGTGATAATTATATGCCATATGTTTCCAAAACCATAGCAACTAATTTGGCAAAAACAGTGGACAAGCATGAACGGATACATTGCACAAAAAACACATGCGAGATCTTGGACTATTTGCCCGACAGGCTGAATTTTTTTTATTCCTGAATTGTTTGCCTTTATTTAATTTCAAAAAGTAAAACATATTTCCACGAAAGTTTCTTGCTTTGATGGTCACCTGTTTTAACTTTTAAAAAATATTCTACTTTGCCAATGGCAATCGATGTTTAGATTTCTGAAATTGGTATTTAATAACATTGTTTTTGACAGGCCACTTGTTCACATACGTCACAATACGACCGAACTCGCTAAAATTATCCCCAGATATGTTTGGAGGCAATGTTTAATAATTCCCATGTAGAATTACATTACGACTTTTCGAATTACGACGAAGTACAACGGATTATCTGACATACGAAAACCAGCCTTTCTCGTGAGAGATGTTTCCGAGAGGTTGTGCCAATTCGTCCGACGTCATCGGTCAAAGATCGCACGCGCACTTACCTGTATCGGTAGGAATTGACAAACTATCAAATATCAATCAATGCATCTGCCAAAGTAACCAGGGTAAAACGTGGTTTCGTCTTCGAATGCATTCTCTTCAAGTGTAGTTGAGACCACCGCAAGATCTACCAAAAACGTTTTGACTTGAGTCTTAAGGAGGTTTAGTCTTATCTTTACAGTTAAGGGCCAAGCTATAGCTTAGGGAGTTAGGGCAAAAGACTATATGTATAGTTTATATATGCCAATACGTGTTCAGTCGACAAAAGGTGGATTCATTGTAATTCAAATGCTAAAATTTCAACAAAACGCTTTCGTGACTAAAAAGACGTTACCTAAGCAATATTCATAATTGCAGACATGTTTTTATGACACTTACAACCAATTTACGAAAAAAAATACAAAGGAAATCAATTGCATTTGGCTGTGAATTTTGTTGTCAACAATTAGTCAATTACGGCATATTTTGTGATAGCTCTGGCGTTAAATCTTTTCATTTCTCAGCAATACCATGAGACATTGTGTATCTGTCTTAATAACTGTCTCGACTTTCGAGTATGCAGCGTCCGCAAGAACCTTTTCTCTTAGAGGACAAGAAAGTCCGTCAAAGTGCGTTTCCGCATAAAGATTAAAAAAGATATAATGTGATTAGTTCACGGAGTATTTTTCTTAAGTTCATGATAACTTTAAGTCTTTATTTCAAGAGGTTAGCACGAAATAGCCAAAGGCATGCAATAAGCGTTAAATACCGCAAAACAATAAATGGTTCCGGCAATGGATTATAAATTATGAAGCGAGAAAGGAGGAAAACAAATTAAATGCAACACCACAGTTTTTTTCTTTTGATAGATATGAACGACAGAACGAGTCAATAAGTTACGAATTCCTGATGTGTACGAGCTCCAAACAAATTCACTCGTTCATATAGTCAATCAAGAGACAAAATTGCACACAAAATCGCAGCGAAACTGATTGCTAGTGTAAACATGTCCATGCCTTTAGCATACGTATGAATATGATCACAACCGAGTGTGGAGAGTATACTTTGTTTACGCTTTGCGCGGGAAAAAATTCCACTCTTTGAATTAAATTGTGGTCGTTTTTGCTGGACGCAATGTAAATATATGAGAAACGTAGCCGAAAATTTATAACCTAAAGTCGAAACCTAACTAACCTACGTGGCTATACTATAGTATAGTTTGTAAGGGAACTGAATTGTAGTTATAATAATCAGAAGGGCAAAACTACAGATTTTCCTTCAAGTATTTAACTGAATATATTTATTTTCGAGCTTCATAGTTCATATATATATATGCCAAACATGCACGTGAGACTATTTTCAAACGTGAGCCGACAAAAGTCAAACTTGCACGATAAAGTCAGTAGAATAACTCGAATTTTTCTTTACTTCGCAGCTAAAATCCAATATGGCGGCGAGATATCTATGCTATAACTATATTATCGACAGACGACACGCATGATCCAATGTTCAAGAAAATTGCTCATTTGAGTGCTAAGCCTATAGATAAGAATTCAGTCGACATAGCTGCATGAATCTGATAGTCCATGGAAATTGAACTATACGTACTTAATAATTTATTTAACAATAATTTTTTATCTACACAGGAAAAAAATTAGCCCATACAGTGCATCAGGTTGCAGAATATTGTGTTGTGCCGCACCTACAATTCACAGGTTACGATATTGCTTAATTTTTCAACAAAAGCAACTGAAAAATATTGATCCTGCTGCAACAGATTGCGACAATATTGTGGTGTGCCAAACCTATGGTTCAGTTGACAATCATAGCAGCTCAAACGAAATCATTTGAAACCACAAACCAACAAAAACCACAGTGAAAACAACTGAAACCACTTAAAGAATAATAACTTTTTAAAACGAATTAAGCCTGCAGTACACCAAGTTGCAGCAATATCATGCTACTATTGTCATCGTTGTTAACAACATCGAATAATATTGTTCATTGAAACACAATTGATGACCACAGTCCACACTGAAAAGCCGTAAGGAAGCCGCGTCGAAGCAAATTAGGCAGATTTACAAAACCGAATTTGATTCACTTTTGTCGCTCAAAAAAATTGCAAATCGCACTAATCTCGGTTACTACTTAGAATTTTTAAATTCTTAGAAATCAGATGCCTGCGTACATTTTGAACGAATGTAGAGTACTATTGTTAGCCTGCAACGACAAATGTCTTCAGAATTCAGAATAGACTTTTTAAGGATTTGGCCGGCTGTCTATCGGGTGTGGTGAGCAATATCTAACCCCTCCACCACTGCTCGGTGTTATTGTGCAAACAACGGTTCAAGAAATAAGATTGCGCAATATTTTGATATGTGACGTCATGTTTATTCAGTCGGGCGCCATCTTTAAAATTAAGATTGTCAACAAGGGCCTGAATTTACTGAAATGGTTTAAAAAAGTGGCTATAAACTCTACCAAATGTTGTTTGTGACGTTAATTTCACCCACAGCGCACAAGGCAAAGTCAATAAAGAGATCATAGCTTACCTTGAAATGATTTTGGTGCTTCGATTGCTTGATAGAGATACGCGTTTTATACTGTGTATATTTTCGACGAGGTTTTACTGTATAAAGATGTCGCTTGTTCCGAAATATGCAGCCGATAATCGCTTTTAAATATCTCCTGTGATGTCTCGCAATCCTAGCGAGGTTTGCCTAATTGATGCAGACGTCAAATCCATCGCAGAACTAAATCTACGATCGACTGTTTTATCTTTGAATTTGCACTGCAATTTGCTGAAAAACATCGAAGGTTTGGACAGCCTGAGAAATTTAAAACACTTGGATCTCTCTTCAAACGCCATTGAAGCGATCTCGGGGCTGGATGGGTTGATATTTTTGAAGTATCTCAATCTGTCATGCAACAAAATTTCCGTGGTGGAAGGTTTGGAATCGTTGAGGTTGGTTTGTAATACAACACAATTAGTTTAGTGTATTTGCTCGTTTCATGAACTGATAACACTCTTCTTTAGTAAAGAGCAAATCGTCTACCATAAGACAAAGCAAAATACTGCCTTGATATGCTGACCTGGACTGTACTGGAACTATACTGTTCTCTTAACTAATACACTGGTTATCTATCAAAAGTTATAGGCCAGAGTTTAATGAACTTCCCAAAACAGAGAAATATACTAAGATAGTTTGAAATGGATGAATAAAGACATCATGAGGGAGAGAGTTTTGTGAGCCATCGACATATAGAATCATCTGGTGTCAAAGAATAAAGTGCTTTACAGAGTTGCAGGCTAAATTACATTAAACTTTAGAGAAGTAATTGAACGTTACTGAATTCCTAAATTCCTAAATATATCTTGCAGGCAATTAGCAAAACTTGATCTGTCGTACAACATTATTTCGAACCTATCTGGCCTGAAGTCGCTATCTGCTGGTCCCTCGTGCTTAGCCACACTCTACCTCCAGGGCAATCAGATACAATCAATTGATCATATTATTGATTGTTTGGGTGATTTTAATGACTTAAAAGACCTGGTGTTCACTCAGAACGAGGACTCTAACCCTGTCTGTAATCATCCAAAGTACCGGTCATTACTGTTGTCTATGTTGAGTAAAATCCAGGTGCTTGATGGACTCAATAGATCAGGTCAACAGGTTGATTCTGACTATTCCGACCATCTTGGTTTAACAGGTAAGGGAATGCGAAATTTAAAAATTCAGGTATGTTTGCCTGCACTGTACTAAAGTAGCTTGAATTTCTGGGCTATTCAGTATCCAGTTTCATATTGCAGACTGTGACATATGCACGTAAAATTAAGATCAGGTTTCCAACTGATTTCTTTCAACCCGCTAAAGTTTTATCAATATAGTTATCAAGGGAGGTAGAGGTAGGCTAACAAAGCAATATTGCAATATTATATAATTCCCATTGTCAACTGATCACGGCCAACTCACCTAAACTCTAGCTTGTAGTGATTTACCGTTTTGATCGTCGAGAAATTTACGTGCAACTTTCTTCGTCAATTTCTAGAATTCTAGAATTCTATTCAAGAATAAAATTTATTCCCGGCCCATAGATCGCGCAAAAATAAGCAGCTCCAGAATAGTTACTTGAGCACTTATTCAAAGTTAAATTGTTTTTTTTTCATTCGTACAATGCTGCAGCAAAATACTTAAATAGTAAAACATTCACACGTGACCATGCGCGAGATACTCGCGCGAATATCGCGTGTGACGAATGTGATGAATGTCACTATCCAAAATGTGCTCACGTGTTTTTCCCATTACAGGATAAATCATTTAGTCAATTATTAGTCAATTATTTACCAATTATAGTATATTAGTCAATTATTTACCAATTATTCTCAGTGGTCCTATCAATTATAGTATTCTATTTGCCCTAATCAGTATCCTAAATGTGCCGCCCACCTACCAATAATTCTTATTGGGTTACTCAGTTACTATTATTATTCCCTAGACATCGATGATTATGTCCGGTTTCTGGCATCGTCACCATCAAATGGTTCAACCAAGGTTTTTTACTTCTTTTTGTTTTGTTTTGCGAATAGTATACGACATTCTCACTAATCACTTGCTAATGTCCCTCAACTCGTAATAGGCCGAACATGGCGGATCTTCGACAGACACAACCACTCCGAGAATCAACGAAGTTCTGTCCAAATTTCGTTCACAGAAATTGCCCGTTGTGGACGATGACGCCAAGTCGAGAACTCAAACTACGTCGGCCAACGTGAAGGTGGCTTTATCGGCCGATCACGAAGTTCGTTTAGAAAGACTCGAACATCAATTGGCGCACATTCTCTACAAACCTGCTGCAGAAAAAGTATAAACTAAAGCGCTTTCTATACTTTCTATGCATGGCCTCAAATCTTTCGTGGCCTAATAAATCTGTAAAACCTACATTACTCTATTCGTAATGCGGGAATAATCGTTTCTAGTTTTTTTCACTATTTTTTAATCTCTACAGGAGATTGTAAATAAGGATCCAGTGAGAGAAGGGACTTCGGAAAGCGAAAGAACTTCAAAAAGTAAAAATATCTTTTACACGTAAAAAACAAGTACACTGCACTGTTTAAATGTGTTGAAAATATTGTATAACTTGAAAAATCAGTTTCCCGCCCTTTTCAGTTGTGTTTGTAAATATCTTGCTACATGTATTTTGAAACCAGCCTTCGATATTGTTGTAGAAAACGTTGCAAAGATATCTGATTCCGATACGGACAATAAAAACCCGTCGAATTCAAGCCAAGCTTATCCAAAATACAGACGAGTAGTTTCTCCGGCGAAGACAAGATTACAATCGAATCCAAAGGATAAGAGTGAAGTGAAAATGGCGACGAGAGGAAAACGCTTCACAGCGAAGAAAAGGCAACAAGAGGCTTCAAAACCTCGCGACAGTACAACGAGTGGAAACGAGGGTGAAGATGGACGATTTGGAGATTCGCGTCCCATTATGGTCGAGGGAAAGAAATATGTTAGACATCCTGAAGACGATGCCACATTTCTGGTGCGTGTGAAACTGATGATTTTGATAAATTAAGTTCTCTGATATCTTTTTGTAAAAATTGGGCTGATACTATGCCATGAGTGATACTATGCCCTGCGAGATGAATTTCTATGTTTGCATTATTTTCTGGGGTTTTTTAGTCGCTGATCCAAGAATTAGACCTGGAACGCGAGAGAAGATGGAAAGCAGAACAGGCCGCTCTGAAGTTAGTTGAACATGTCAAAGATTTGCAAATCAAAGGTACCTGATTTACTGCTTAAACGAAATTCAATCGATTAATTCTAGAATATGGATTTGGGAATTGACTCCTACTGTATTTCCAAGCCCTGAACATCCTTGCAGTTGGCAGAAGAGCCCCAACCAATATCCCACCATTTCAAAATAATAGGGAGCTTTAGCAGTGACTACGAGTACGACTACGAGTACGAGATTCGTCATTCTCGCGCGTTGTTTGCTTACGCCATCAGTCAAAACTCGTAGTCGCCGGGCTTTTGAGTAACGAGTTTTTTGGCAAATTTCGTACTCGAAAGCTCAGCGACTACGAGTTTTGGCTGATGGCGTAAGCAAACAACGCGCGAGAATGACGAATCTCGTACTCGTAGTCGTACTCGTAGTCACTGCTAAAGCTCTCTAATCACTTCAGAGATACGGCAGCTAAACTAGAGGTTGTTTTTTCTCACTATACCCGAATTCCAAGTGTTTTTTCTCATTGCGTGTATATTAATGATTGACAATTACTTCAGTGAACGAAGAAAAAAAGCTTGAAAATGCTGCATTAACGGCTAGTACAAGGCTCAAAGAAGCGTTGCAAAAAGCGAGACAAGAGAAGACGGAACTGCAGAAAATCAACACTTCTTTACAAGTAATGTATTTGATTGAGAGTGAATCCTTCGGGAATCGTATTATGGTTGTCTTTATGCCGTATTGGTAATATTCACGTTGAATTTTAGGCGAAATATGAGGAGATGGTTGATGATCTTAAGAACTGTCGAGAAACAGAGGAGGAACAAAAAAAGGCTCTTCGAGCAATGGAGGCTGCTTCAGCAAAATTGGAAACAGAAAGAATGCAACAACACGCTCATGAGGTGATGTACATGTATTATTATTGGTGATGCAGTGAATGGAGGGAAATGCTTGGAGACATGATTTGTGCAGTTATAGTGGTGGTGATGATTACGATGGAGCCGATTAGGATGATGATGATTATATTGATGATGATGATACTGATTGTTATAATGATGCTGATTATGACGATCACTATGATTAAATCAATGCCATGGTTATATTGATGATGTTCATGATTATATTGATGATGACACTACTTTTAATGATTACGATGATGTTGGGAAAGATGATGATAAAGATTATATTGATTATGATGATGATTATATTGATCATGGTGATCGTGGTTTTGATAATATTGAATGTAATCGATAACAGAGATAACTATAACGGTTTTTTTTTGAAAAAAGGTCTCAAGAGCCCAAGAACAACAAATGAGAGCAGCTGCTCTGGCTCGAGAACTGGACATTCTGAAAACCAACAACAAACAATTGACAGGTCAAGTACAACAGCTGCAAGAACTGCTGGCGACTCGTGAACAGCAACACAAGTTCGTACAACTATAACACCACTAACTAAAACCATTGGAGAGGAAACTTGTTGCCAACACTATCAATTGTTTTGCTCATATTTTTTTAGAGTTGAAATGGAAGGTCTTGTTCGTCCAGACAGTCGAGATATGCGAGAAGTTATTGACAAGGAAATTGTTAAGACAGAAGCGCGCTTTGAACAACTAATGAAACAATGGGATGAAAAGTAAGGGATATTTGATTTAGGTTCTGTAGTTGATTCAGTTGGTATACATCGGGTGGAATATTAGCAGATTGAAGTTTAAAATGTTTTCAGATTAAGACAAAAGAATCGAGATTATGCAGAGTTGGAAAATGAATTTCGAATGGCCTTGCAAATCGAAGCGAAACGATTTCAGGAGGTATATGATGGTACTAGTGTATATAGTTTGTTGTATAGTTTCTGTTCTGGTTGTTGTCGTTTTGTAATAATATTGTTATTGTTGGAATGTGGTTGTTTTGTAATGCTTTTGAGTGAAATAAATTGCTTTAACAAATAAGGATATGATATCATCGATTATGATCAAACTTGCTCCCATCTTCAGCTGCAAGATGAATTCACAAAAGTGAGTGAAGAATGCTCTCAATACAAACAAATCTCGCAGGCAGCCAGACAAAAAGAAACCAAGGCTACAGGCATGGTTTCAGAGTTAACGTCGGTAAGAATAAGTTAAAATCAGTAGGTTCAGTGGAACAGTAACATATTGAATCATCACTACCTACTACTTGGTTATTTTACAGTTAGTTAAAGAGCAAAAAGTCCGTATCACTGAGTTGACTAAGTCAAAACAAGAATCTTTATCTCAGCATAAGGTGGGCACAGTTACAAAATTTGTTTATAATATACTGTGTGTTATGTACCATTACAGGTTTGCAGTTGGCCTTGTATTCAAACCGAACAGCTCGCATTTCATCATGTATGTCCAATATTTAGGAAAGAATTAACGTTTTGGAAGAGGAAACAAAAGTCGCGCGCAAACGAATATCAAGAATTGAAGTTTTAGAACAGGTGAATTGGCGTATAGTTAAAGAGAACCTGTCAATAATAATACAGATATTGTCTTGAAGATATTTTTTATCCTGTTCCTCCGAATATGTTCCATTAAGCGAAATACTTGGCACAATGTCCATTATTGATTTCAATTTGCAAAATAATTTTTTGTTTTGATAGATTTTTTAGTTTTGATTTCATGTTGATTTTCAGGACAAGTCTAAACTGCTGTCCCAAGTACGTGCTCAGGAATCAGTTATTCAAGGTCTGAGATTAGAAAGGAAGCTCTGGGGCGAAGAGTTGGCCCAACAAGGTAACCTATTTTGTGCCCATACAGAAACAATGGCGGGTTTTGACACGTGATCGTCACGTGATTACTAATACGTAGCGTTTTGCCAGGCGCATCCCTTGCTCAGGATCGTGGAAGACTGGAATCGAAAGTGGAGAGTCTCGCCGAAGAGAAAAGCCTGCTTCAAAAGCAACTGGAGGTACTGTGTTTCAGTTTGTCCGCCTTTTCAAGAAATTATCTTTACTGAACCAACAAAAGGAACTGCTTTAGCAAAAGGAACTGTTCTCTACCATACCTTTGTGAGAAAGAAAGCCTTGTTTTGCAGAATGCCAATGACTCAATTCGCATTAAATCGAAGATGCTCGAAGATCAAACGGAATCCATACGACAGTTAAAACAGGTTCGTTGAACTATTGCGACATGGTCGAGGATTAAGGGGAGTGGGGTGGGGTGGTGTGTGGTGCAAGGTTTTCGAAGTGCATGTTGCTATGGCACAACGCATTCGTTTGATTTGGTTGATCATCCTCCTTAACCTAGATGATTACTAAAACAAGAAGTTCTTTGTCTAGAGCTTAAGCGAGTTTGACAGTGAACGTCAAAAGAACGAAGAAAGTGAAAGAAATAAACTTCGAGACATTGAAGAACGATTGGAACAACAACATGCTGTCAATCAAGAACTCGAGGTAAAGTTTTGGGGGAAATGAGCACCACTCATCAGCACAATCCTTCTATCGAGAAACGGACAGATTTGTTGAAATCTACAATGAATATGTTGACTTTAAAACTGCCCATTTGAATCCATCTAGTCGTAAGCGTGCATGTGGCTTTGAGCCATAACTATCGCACTGATTTTTAAAATAAAATGATCCACAATGATAAATGAAAGCTGCAGCAGGTTGAGTTCCACCTTGAGTTCTAAAAATACTCTTAATTGTTTTAGGAGAAAAATGAGAGCCTTTTGCAAAGAAAGGAGGAACTAAAAGACGAACTTTCCGTTCTCCAAAGTGAGCTTGAAAAATCGGAAGAAACCAAAAGGTGTTTATAATTGCATAAAAAGGAATAGGTTCATCTATACGGAAAAAAGTTTTAAGTATTTAAAATCCACATTTTAGTACATCCTGACCTGAATATTGGTTGCTAAAATAGAAAATTTAAATGTGTTTTTCTCCCAAATTGGTTGTATTTAGATCCCTGAAAAGCAAGTGGCAGGAGCGAAGCGATCTGATTGGTCGTTTGGAACAGGAGGTGAAGGAAATGCGAAATCAATTTGATGCCAAAGAAGAGAAAATGGTGGAAGAGAAAGAGAAGGCGATTAAGGCTGGAAAGTAAGTTTGTCGGACTCGTCTGCGAAAAATGCAGGAAATGAACGACAAGAACATTCACAGTTCATCAGAAATTCTTTTAAAGCCACAATTTTGTGTGGTCGTTTTGTTTGAATCGGAGCGAAACAAGAATTTTTTTTCTCAAAGTCTAGCGATAGAGAAACTCCACTCCTGCGACGATGCATTTCGCAAACAACTGGAAAAACAGAAGGAAGTTTACGAAAGAGAAATTGATCGTTTGACGCGGGAAAAAGAAGAAGTTATCAACCAATCAAATCAAAAAGTAAGATTTATGCTGTGTGCGGCATTAGGGACGGGAAACCATCCAACCAAGCTTTATTTGGCTTTCTTTTCATTTGCTTATTCTCGGAAAATGGTTTGTCTGTAAAATGCATGCCGAAATTGTGACGTTTTTTCATGTTTTCGCATAGATCAACGAAGTGGAGGACGAAATGAGACAAATTTTGCAAGAAGCCGCGTCGGGCAAAAAAACTCTCGAAATGAGAATTAAGAAATTGACAAATGCCTTCAATGAAATCCAAGAAGATCTTACTTCGTGAAGAGGATTCTTGGTGGTATCTTGAAAGATGGAAATTTATTAGTAGAGGCTTTATATAGTTTCGTAAAAAAATCCTTGAGGTAAAATTCGGGCAATGCGAATGATTTTTTCGACTAAATGGGCCGAAGCGAATCTCTCCGCCATCAGATTCACTAGATAATCCCTTGTGACATTATACAAACAGTAATTTCAAGACAATCATTAGAACAGAAAAATTATTTGAGAGGAACCAAGCTCCTCTTTCCTGCCTCTCGGTCCCTGGTGAACTGTGAACTGTGAACCTGTGAAATCATGGGATTTTTGATCAAAATCATACTTGTACATATAAGTCATGATTGCACCCTCATTGAATTTGAAAGGGAAATTTCGTTTTTGACCAATGAGCAAGTTTGTTTACATTTTCAATAACCCAATCAGAATGAATAAATTTTGATAAAAGTACAATATATATCATTACATGAAGTATTTTTCATTTAGTCTTTCTGATTGGCTTTGCCTAAAAAATGTAAACAAATCTTGCGATTAGTTTAAAACGAAATTCCAGTCCTTCTTTTTCCCTCTTTGCATCTTCAGGTTTTTCGCGTAGTGTCTTTGGTAATAAAAAAATACTGAAGGTCGAATATACGGTATACATGGTATATTTGGCCGGGTTATTCACTATGAAAGCGAATTGAATACATCATCAATTGAATATTGGATTGGAAGGTATAAAAAAAATGATAAGCGAAGTCTGCCCCCTGCCTATGTAGCGAAGCTTGTTGTCCCAAAAGGCTCACTCAGGTGTGAGCTGGTCAAGGAATTCTCGAGTGATCGCAGGCGCATGAGGTTTTTTTAAGCCGCCATTTTTAAAATTTTGTTTATGTTTTCAAGAATTGTTTTTGCTACAATTAAATTATTGTTGCATTTTTGAGGCATTTAAATTTTTAGAGATAGGCGGTAACGAGCTTTTTACCGTGTTCAAACACGTCAGAGCGACATCTGTTGTATTGAAACGCAGACATTGAAAAGTGGTAAATCGGGAATGAAGTAGTAAGTTGAAACTTGAAACCATATTCATACAAACTTGTCTTTGCAACAGCGATAATATGTGAAATAATTCCGACACAGTTTAGCAAAGATTGTATAAACCGAGCATGGATGATGTTGAAGTATTAAAAGCGAAGCTACTTCGAAGCGAAGCTGAAAATCAAAAGTTGAGACAACAATTACAGAGCCTTATTTTACTTGTTAAAAAGTGAGTACATACACTGTATTTTATAGACCTCGTATCCCCTCTTGGCAGAGGCTAACTAGGCTGCTACTCATCTAGTAGGCTATATTTTTATTACTACATTAAATCATCACAAAATATTGACATTCTGTACCTACAGTTTGTCAAAGTTTAGCGCTGCTGTTCATCAACTCATGGTTCAGGTTGGTTTTGTTGTAGTTGTTTTTTTCGTTTGTGACAAAACCACGAAAGTATACTTACTCAGTGAGTTCCAAATTGTAAGCTAGTATGCTTTCTTCATTACAGAGCATGGACTGGTGATCACAGTGCTGCAATTGATGTTGCATTGATTGTTGGTGAGTGAAATGAGGCACTTTGGAAAATATGAATGTTCCCCAACTTTCAAAGGTTCACTAGCAGCTACATCTATTTTGTTTGTTAGGTGTGTCTCCACCAACATTGGAGGTTTCATCTTTGACAGATGAAATTGTTGCTGTGCCAAAGGTATTAAAACTGCTATGCTGGTAAATCAAAAATAGCTTTTTAGATCAATATAGAAACCAATGACTTCATCTTCTGTGAAATCTGCAGTCACAGTGCGTAAACAACTGGCTGAGACTTACAGTTGGCCTCATCAACAAACAGTTCAAAGAAAGCCGAACGACAGCAATGGCAGAACAGCTGCTCCACCTGCGAGACAGAGAAGCATTTATTGATGAGCAAATGGAGAGTAAGGTGCACAACAGTGAGCCCAAGTTTGGTGACATAGAACAAAGAACAAGAGTCCTACATGAGCTAGTGGTGAGTCACATGTTGTAATATGAAAAAAATGCTTAAAGTTTCAACAAATCAAATAGTATATCCACCAGCATATGTTTCTAGTTGCAAAGCTAAGATTTCACATGAAAATTGTGTTTAAAGATTACTATTGACATATCCCTAGCTTGTAGGTCTTGTCCCCACCCTACATATCTATGGTGCCCCCCCCCCATCCATGGTGCCCTCCCTACCTATGGTGCCTTCCCTACCTATGGTGCCCTCCCATCTATGGTGCTCTCCCCACCTATGGTGCCCTCCCTACTATGGTGCCCTCCCATCTATGGTGCTCTCCCCACCTATGGTGCCCTCCCTACCTATGGTGCCCTCCCTACCTATGGTGGTCATTAAAGACATTCATATAAGAGCGTGCTTTATACATATAAGAGCATTCATAAATATTTGCTCTTTAACATTTATCGAAAAGAGATATATGTTGAAAAAATTCCAACTACCTTCTACATTTTATGGTCGAATCTCTCGAATGTACCTACAACATTTGTTAGGCAGCAATAATGAGGCTTCACACTTAAAATTCAGACATGGGTTAAAAAACAAATGGTGGTTGATGTAATTTTATTCATCCATTTAGGAAAGTGAAGATATAAAGAGAAACGAATTGAAGTTGAAACTTGGAAGGCCATGTCTAGAGGGTCCTAATCGCCTGATCAGTTCAAAACCCAAATCTAGAGTGAGCTCCGCAAAACAAACAAGATGCGTAAAATTGGCCAACACTTCAAAAGTGGACCAATGCTTGGTTATTCAATCCAGGAATGCAGGAGTATCTAAGGTGAAATTTTCAAGCAAATCTTAGCCCTGTGCTGTATTTATAAAGGCAGGCGCCTCTCTAATGGGCGAAAACCTGTTTTTTACTTCAGGAGCAGCAGCCATCGGCGACTAAAAATCGACCGATGCCGGAAGAGAAGCACAAACCTAGAGCGAAATCTGCAGGTGCGTATTCTTCGTTTGCAAATGGTGTGATAATTCGCCATTAGGGCGGTTGAGAAATGATTTAATTTGCAAACGTTGTAGGGGTACAAACTGATGAACTGCCCAATATGGGTGCAATTAACATGCAGTATAATGAAAATGTGATCTGTTGATATGTTTTGGGAATTTATCTAAAATCGTGGCAATTTCCTGTTGTATCACACTCGATGACGTTTTCTTAAAGAAAAAAAATATACATACATAGCTACATATCAAATACCACTCCTTTAAATTCGTACTATTTTTACCTTAATACCTCAGAAATACAATACAATGTTAATGGATGGAATGCCATGCCATGCAAATGATGCAATACAAATACATAAACAATTTATTTACAAACGGAACTGGATCTTCAGCAATAGCAATTATAGCAACATACGATTACAACAACTACAACAATGCCTGCGAATTGCTGCAATATAGCCTTAGAAAGATTGCGAAATTTGTATGCTTTTCTGTGTTTCAGCGGTGTACAAAATTTGCGAGTTTTCCATAGCGATAATGTTTCTGATATTTCCACAACAAAACTTTTGTGCAATTTTGCGAACACTCCAGGTTCCGCAAGGAGACCATTCTCTGCTCCGCACCGCGCAGCCTCTGGAGGAACAAGCAGGCAACGACCAAGGTCTGGTATCAAGCGAAATAATCAAGGACAAGGTAGGATCGATGATAAACTAAATAAAACGGAAAGTGATATTGCAATGACCGTGCAGTTGTTGCAACAACGCCTTGGAATTGACGAACGAGGTATGGTGTGAAATATGAAGAATATTTCATAAATGATCGATCTTTGCCTTTGGGCCTCGATAAAGAGCTTGTTAATTTAAATGCTAGTCATACTGGCTTTCAAACAAGTGGCCGTGTTTGTCCTCCTGACACAGCTGGTGGCCTTACACGCAAGGCAATTCATTGCCTGTAAACATTGACCATTTCATGCATCATGGTGACAATATTTGGTGTATGCACGCAATGGGGATTTTTACAACAACGCGCCCGCTGATTGGTCGCAAGAAGCGTGCTCCAATTTCTGTATGGCGGGAAAATTTCCCGCCAAAACTGAAAATCGTAAACAAAGTAATGAAACTTATAAAACTTTAAACGCAATTTAACATGGTCGATGAATACCTTTTATATTTCACCATTTTCATGCTTTCTAAAACTCCATGGAAACATGGAAAATGTTTTAGAAAGTAAGTGTATTGTTTTTATGAAACCTGGCCATTTGTACCGCAATGACAAAGAAAAAAATAGTTAAGATATAAAACACGACGTCATGATGATTGAATGCAATTTTATGCATAAGCACCGCGAGATAATCTTCTTTTAGTGGTCTTATTACCCATTATTCAACACTCGCAGAGTTTTTGATTTTGTCCGCCAGTCTGTCTTCGAGAAAGTAAAAAATCCACTTCCGCCTATTGATGGCTTTCCTTAAATATTTTTTGATCAGCTTTTTTGGTCACGGGTCAGCTTCAAATGTTTCAACGGCCGCCTCCGTCACCGCGGGTGATCTGAAATGGCGGGAAAGGACTGGAACTAGTTGTGAAATTCCTTTCTCCGCGGAAACAACTTAATATCTCTTGAAATATACCTTATTTCGGTTTTAAATTTATATCATAGCTATAGTTCATATAAGCAAACATAATCGCAAAATTTAGACTAGTTTCATAAAAAATAACAAAAGATATAATCGATTAAAAATACTGCAGAATGGAATTCTGTGATAAAAAATAAAAAATGTGACACTGAACGCTAACACAAAACTGAAGTGAACGCCAACAAACCCCTGGTTGTTCTCCAGCATACGTTTGTTCAATGAGAACATTACGCGCAGTAGCGTAGCCAGCCTGTCGATTTGTCCCGCTATGCTAAAAGTTTAGTGCTCACTGACTGTGAAAACAATAAATTTCTAAAGACATGAATAATTATAATAACTCCAAGTTTACATAGCGGGACAAAATCGTCAGGCTGGCTACGCCACTGATTACGCGTGTAAGCTAGCTATGTATACGCCAGTCGTCATGTATAAATAAGTTATCAGAAGCGCGATCAACGCCAAAAGCCTCGGAAAACGGTTGTTTACACTAGGGATAAAAGAGGGTCCAGCACTCCAGCTTATCTCACGTACTGAGCGAGATTTGTTTGAGGAACGAGGTTGTGAGTGGGAAAAATTGTATTTCACGTGTTAAAAAAAGATCTAATCTCTACAATGGTTCGGTGTAAACCAATATACCAAAATATTATTGTTTATTTTTTTTGAAACTTGATAAAGAGCTCGCGGGATAGTGAGAATATTTCTGGGTGAGACAGGGGGGGGTCCACGAAAGCTTCTATGTCAATTTTCTGGTTTTTTGCAGAGGCTAGATCAAGGACCTTTCCGTAGAGAGATCATTGATCGATAAAAGATCACTAAAAATCGCTTCCTAAACTTTAAGCATTTCAGAACTGCAATAAATTGTGTTCATATTGTTCTGTAATCTCATTACATATAAAACTAAGTCTGTAACAATGTTTTCAAATGCTTTTTTAACCCTGAGAACCAACAGCGAAAGGTCGAACTCTCGTTCGCGTTAGTATAATCCACTCAAGCGATATAATCTTCTGATATTCTGAATACCAGATTTAGTTCTGAAACACGGGCTAACTGTGTGATGTGAGAATCCATCTTTATCAGCGCTGCGAAATATTGCAATGAATTACATCAAATTTGATAACTTTATATTTCATTTCTTTCTGTTTACATCCGGTTCATCTGCTTAGACCAAGCCTTAGACTTTTTATTGTATGGTTGAAAAGGTCTCTGTGTATAATAGTAATTGTGTATAATAACATTGGCGTATCAGTTTGAGCCAGAATATTTTACTTCGGTTACTCCTGTTGTTGTTAGGTAGAATAGCTTGAAAAAATGCAATATACAGTAAATTTGAGTACAGTGTTTCACCATGGAGACCAGTAGATCAGCATTACAGTATTCTGGGCGCAATGCAACGGCGTACAGTACAGTACAGTGCAGTACATGTAGTGAGATGCTGTACAATATGGTACAGAATAGATACGTGCATTGTAGGTTGCTAAAGTATACAGCAATCGGGTACAGTACAGTAAAAAAACGTATATTGCAGCCTGGTACAGCGCATTGCATTGCACTGTAATAAATAAAGTGCATTCTCTAAAGCATTCGAGGTATATCGCTACTACATATATTTCTTGAATTTTTGTACAGAATATAGTACAATACAGTACAATATTACAATACGGTACAATATAGTACAATACAGAATATAGTATAATACAGTACAAAAAATATAGTGCGGCAGATTATAATAGTACACTGAAGTCTTGCATGTGGAACACTGGACAGTGTATTACAACACAGTCAACACTCGACAAAAATTAAACATAAAAAATTCAAATGATGATAGAGTTCGGACAACTTCAAACTTGTTCAGCTTCTTTTAGCGGTCTGCCTGTAAAACTGACCGCATGTCTTCCATTACCAGCGTTGTAATAACAGCGTTGTAATGATTCTATTGATTTATGGCATGCCACGGTAATTGGGAGTGGTTACAGAATACAGAAAGCATTAGCCGGAAAGATATATGGTCATCAACTATTTAGCTAATGATCGAAGCAGCGCAACGGCTACAGCGTGTCTGCCAGGTTTCTAATCCTGCGTATTGCCCAAGGGTTTGAGCTAAAAGATGGAAATCATTTGACATGAGAAGAATCTACAATAACACCACGTAAAAGCTACGAACTGGGTCTGATTTTCATCGTGTAGAGCGCTCCGTTTAGAACTCGGTCTATGAAATGAATCGAAATGGATTGAGAAGCTAAATGAAGCATTCTGCATTTTCCAATGCCAATTCCTGATACGAGTTTGCTTTTTTTAGTTAAGTTGACGTAATGCTACCACGGGGAAAAAGGGGGAAATGCTCATCTGTTCTCGTTCCAGATAAGATTTTGCTAATAAAATTCCAATCATGACAAATATGGGAAAGCAGGATAGATAGCCTTTATTTTAATCACGATGATACTCGAAGCATGCTAGCATCCTGTGGGGCGGCGCACATGTATGCACTAAACACAATGGATACTAAAACACAAGACCAACATCGAAAGCGCAGTTAAACGCCACCCTAGCTTATTCCGCGTCCAACCTTCACAGGTCATACACCTTTGCTGCTTCCACTTTATGTATCCCTCATTCCATCGTTCGCTTCCATCAAAGGCTAAGTTTCATCATGTATGGGTAACACTGCTGAACATCGGTTCAACATATGTGAAATACGATCTTGCGCGAAAAAGTAATGTTATGGAAGTGTTGTCGACACAACACCGTGTTTGGCAAACTTTCGTATTGTCGTTTAATTATATATCAATTTCGTTTAAACAAGCATCAAATAGCCAGCGGCAATTGTCAGCCGTTGCAACCTGCCTTGTGTCTTAAAACTGGACGCGTCCGGCTAACATCTGTCTTTGAGAAGTTCTATTGGGAAGTTAACGAGTCATCTTATACCCCTCAACCGTTGGGTTTCGTCACCCCGGTTTATCGCGCACCGAACTGTGTGTTTACGGTCGTTGAATGTGCCTGTTGCGCTCTAAACACGGCCGACTTTGTGAGAATCTCTTTGCGCATTCGACTTCCCGGCGTTGTTTTCGTTTTTTTTGCGGAGAAATCCTCTCGGCACCATGCGCGCGGGTAAACAAAGCTAGCAGTCGAGATTAGAATACCGCGCGCGCTCGCGCGCAAACTCAAAGCATACATGCGTCCTCCTGTGAGGACCCAAGACGCTTATTGGTCGACCGCAAGAAGCCGAGGAGGAAATCACTTTAAGGGTGGGCTTATCGCTAAGGTATTAAAAGCTGACTCTCGTGGGCAGACGACCAAAATAAAGCGAGGTCTCTCGGCAAAAGGAAAGGTGATATAGAGGCGACGATACAACTTGGAAAATATGGAAGCGTTTCGCGTGCTATATACTTTGCTTATTGTCTGGTCTGTTCGTGATTTGAGACTGAGGTGGGTGTTACATATTTGACTTGTATTGAACGTGGATTGCCTGTTTGGCGCTGCGCGCAATCTGCGTAGACGTTAGGCTATAGTTTAGCGCTGGTACTTCGAAATATCCTATCTACTGCAGTATCCTTTGTCTACGGCCCGGCATCTCCTCACAAATCTGGCCTTGTATATTTTTCTTTGACAACAATTATCAAGTAACTATCGAGCAGGCATGAATTTGAATGAATTCGCCACAAGATTATCGCGAACGTAGCTATTACATTATTTGATTTCTAAACACGATTGCAGGAAAGGTCTCACTTGCTTTGTCTAAAGCCACAAGCGATAATTTCTGAGTGGATGCACCCCGTCCTTACTGATAGTATGAAATATAGACAACATAATCTTCATTGTCAACGGTTGTTCGAATGCATTGACGCACTCGAGTAAACGGGAACATGTACTTCTACACAGGACCCGGCGGTTTCCAGTCTCGCTAGGCAACAAACAGCATTAGGAAGGGAGTGAGAGAATATACTAAATTCTTATCAAACGCACCCCGGTAATCACATGAGTGGAAAAAAACGGGGCATACAATTCTAATAATCCATTCTTGTTTTCTCAGCGATGCACTACCAACAGAAGCCATTGCAGAGAAGAGTTTACAAAAGGTAAGGAAATACAACCTCACTTTTCTACCATTTAATATTTTTACCTGGCCTTCCTTCTTTACGTTGCTCGGTTGCAACCGGAATCGCATGCGGCTCGTCATTATTGAAGTTGAGCCGAAATTCTAAAGTTACTTCGCTGTTAAACTGTCCACAATAACTATGCGCCGCACGATATTCCAAATAGGATGGAACCGCAATGACTCGGGGCTGTGTTTTAGTATTAACAACCGATAAAAGATCGCGATATTTCGTTTTAATAGGAACGTCTTTATTGCTCATTAATTTTGACTGATGTGGTTTATACTAATTAATCATTAGCAAACGTTGTGATCTCCATTATAGATTAATCAAAGTCGGTCATTTGTAATCCAAATGCATTTGTAACTGGATGTGACAGCTTAATGCTTTGTATTCGTTCCTCACACCGGATAGCCGATATGTTTGCGGATACACGTAAACGCATATTATGTCAATTTGCGCGAGCGTGTTAACGTGAATTTGCATATTTTCCGCGAGCCGACATCGGCCGCGCAAATGTGAGCGTTTCGCGCAAGCTTTGTACATTCCCGCGAATCGATGTATGAGAATTGATGCAAATTAACATATTATGCGGGGTTACCCGCAAGTGCGCAGTTTACTAATACGCAAACCTGCGGTGTGCGCAATCGGAATTAACATGATGAAAGCGGCAATGTCGTGAAGATGAGCGGTTAAGAGGTATCCGATAACTGAGATATTATAGAATATTTCAACGCCGTGTCGTGTAGAGCTTTTTAATAATACCTAACATGGCCGTTGGGGGTGAGATCGACAACAAACGAACTAAGAGAAAAATACTTTTCCTCTACGAGCGTTACAGAAGGCCGTTAATTTGATTTGTAAGAAAAAAATATATAAGTAATATATTTGCATACAGCAAATGCTGTGGTTGCATCAACTAAGCTGGGTCATTCTTGTTAGAAATCATTTTCAGTGTACATGTTTGGGATAAAAGTGTGAAATGCGTGTTTTTCTCATTTCTAAGATGAAGATGACATAATATAGAACAGACGAAAACAAGTGAATGTGATTTATGATTGTTTAGAAAACCTTTCATACGGTGATCAACATACTACCTCTCTGTATATCAGTATTTTTACAGTTTTACACATCTTCAAATATCATACAACTCTTCAAACATGCTGTTTACTTGGTATATTAGCGCCGATGGTTTCAGTTTTTAGCAAAGAATTAACGCCTGTGCATGCTCCTTCCTAAACGTCTACGTCTGGAAAGATGACGTGTTTCGCGGGACTACAGGAAATAAATATGCTTATCAAAGTATTTGACCTTTGAATCGTTACTTGCGTGATGCATGCTCAGAGCTACAGTCATTTGAGAGATAAAATCGAGCAATTCCAGCGCCATTTTTGAGCGTACAAACTTGCCTTGCATAAAGTAAGCAACGTTCACATCACCCAACGCGAGTTCGAATGATATCCATTTCATCAAATTCGTCCGAGTTCGAATGATATCCATTTCAAATTCGTCCGAGTTCGAATTCGTGCAGTAAATTCAGTAATTCTACCTCAGCTTCTAATGCCGGCGCAGAGCAGGAAGCAAATGGGGTCAAACTCGACCTCGTGAATAGGCTTGTTAAATTAAGGGCGCGCGCTTCGCTCGAGGCTACATTTGATTCTATCCATGCATCTCGTGCTAAATAGCGTTTGAAAGCGTTTTTTAACTGCTCCTCGAGGAATAATGGTTCCAGCGTGGCAGCGTCACCCGTAGTCGCGCGCGTGCGCTTTCAACGCGCAACCGAAGATGGCGAGATTAACTAATCGGTATGCGCCTAATCTTCCTCAAGCCTAAAGTGCTTTAAACCGATAATAAGATGAACGAAAATGGTAATTTTGTGCAAATATTTGGATAATGCTAACGATAATTCATATCAAACTTAATTTCACCACGCCATATTTGCGTCGCCAAACAGGTGCTATGCATGTATGTTTTTCATCGCCGCCATCGTACTTTGTAAGCAGAAAAGAATTTAGGCCTGCTGGTTAGAAAGCCTGTTTGAAATTTGACGTATAGGCTCTGACGTTCAAATGGTTTCATCGAAAAGTCTTCCTCTGGGTCTGCTGGATTTTTAATAGTTGGGACATCGTGTTTACGTGACAAATATGTACATGGCTTGACTAATTGGGCCCGGAATTTCCCTTCGATATGGTCCTCTTATAAAAGTACACATGGGAAATTATTAGAAAATTAATATCGAGATGCTGCTTGTCAGGAAATAATGTTTACATGGCGGTAGGGGGTAGGAGACATCTCTGTTTTGCTTTGCTTTACAGAGCCCCGTCCGCTCGGGGAATAAATATATTCATGTGCGTTGCAGACTTGTTTTGGCTAATCTGCAAATATTTTCATTAAGTTCGCGTGAGCAGTCCCCTTTGACTTCCCACATCTGCGATAAAAGGGGCGTTTTGCGTGTGTTAAATTAAAAACATGATTAAATATCCATTATCAGCTGTTTGACGATGGCTTAATTACATCGTGTTTATCTTACTAACAAACAACACCGACTTCGAGAATTTTTTTCTCCTCATGAGTATGGAGATGGACACCTTTCAGCTCTCTAATGCAAACCGTAAATTCCACAATCGCTTCAAAAGACAAAATTTTCCCGCACGAATATCTGGAACAACCGCAAACGTCCTCTTCAGCATTTTTCGCAACGTACATTTCGCAGCTGATTCCAACTGATTCAGACTAAATTTTGACCAGGAATCGGTAAAAATCAGTAAAACTTTGCGAATTGTTGTAAAAAATACAAAAGTAAAGTCCGGCCTATCATCGCGATATTTTTATATATTTGTATTACGCGCCGTATTTGGCTGGATGTAGATAGATTTTTTTTCGCACATGATTGAAATATATAAAAAAATTGATAACCTTCGAAATGGTTACACGTATTCTTCCCATTTTACGACATTCGTCAACGAAACTTTGCGGTCTTCCTCGTATATCATGATGTTCCAAAAAAGTATATTCCAGATTTACTAGAAAAGACAGGATTTCAAGAAAACGCGAATGAAAATAACAACGGAAAAACCTCGCATCAATTTTTTTTACCTAATCCACTTCTGAGGAGCTCTTTGGCTCGCGTTCAGACCTAAGTTATCAATTATCGCTTAATAGCTTTGATCACATTCCCACTATGTCCGCAATTCGTTGGATTGTAAGTGTTGTTTTAGCACCAATTTATTAGCATCGCAGTCGGTAAATTGCGTTCAAGAGGTTCGGTAAAACTTAAAATACTTCGAGGAAAGCTGGTGCGATTAGGCTCAAGTGCCACTCATGCATCCTCGTCACCAATGCCGCATACCGTTTTTGGAAGTCTAAGTAGAATCTTACATCAGTCCACTTGGGAATTAGCCGAATACCAGACGCTTCTGGTACTTATTTCTATCTCAAAAATAGATGCCCTACGTGCAATCAATCTCCTAAATCAATCTTGAATTCCTTTAAAACCGACCGAAAAGGTTGTTTGCGGCATATCGCGTGGATGAAATATCCTTGTCTGATCAAGCCGATCAGTTAGGACATTGTCTTGAAATCTTCCGTTTATTGCTTATACAAGAGTTCTATTCTAAAAAACAATGGATTTCTACTGCCGTTCTCATGGCAACATAACATTGAATCACTTGAAAGTGGTGTGTGAAAAAGTATATATTTGGTGTACTTTCAAGTTGGGTGAGAGTGTGGTTATGTGCTGAGTAGTTTTGAGTGTGGTTATGTAGACAACAATATATGTGTTAAGTACTGTTCGTAGGAACATCTATACTATATAGTTCTCATGACGTCATGATATTATCAAATTGACCTTCTCTATAGCTTAGTCGCGGGAGAAGTGTCTTTCTCAATAACTTAATAATTCTCAATAACTCTAGAGATATATCTCTATTGTATAGCTATAGCCTACATGGTTGAATTCATCGAACATGCTTGCTGTCTGTGACGTACCAACCTGCACCGATCTCGCTATATATACTGAATGGACCCGTTAAAAACCAGCGAGCGAAAACTTAGTTGAAATTTAACGAAACAACTTCAGTGTTTTAAGGTGACCGTTGAAGCTATGGGCGCTTTCCTTTGTGCGCGGTAGAAACGGACAGACCGGTCCTCTTGAATTTCAGTGCAGACAGATTATTGGTATTTTAGAGTGTTTCAAGAACTCTGCTTTCAGGTTTATCGTTAATTCAAAATACATCTGCCTACCATCGAAAATGAAGTTTCGCCGTAATGTTTTTAATGAAATGCTCTATTTCAAATCAAAATATGACCGGTTTGACCATTTTGGCCTCTTAAAGGTAAGTGCCCTATGAATGTGCGGTCTCTGCTGATACCGCGCATACGCATATGACGTTTAAATACAACAAATGATCTTGAATAGAATTTTCGACACCTGACAAATAATTGAATGAAACGAGTCGAAAGATGTGTGGTGACCAACCATACAGAGATGAAATCAATCAACCTTTCCCTAAAAAGAATGGCATAGTTTAAATTCATTAATTAGGGAACTCTGAATTTCAGTAAAATCTTTTCCAAATGACTTTTAATTTCAACCGATGAAAATCATTGTTTTTCTTAATTAACTGTTTATTAGTGTGTATATGAACGACCAATATGGCCGCCAGCCAGATATATATTTTGGAAAACCGCTAGAATTGTTTATGACATTTTTTAACTGCGACAATGATCTGGGGCCGGTTGTTCGAAAGGTGGATAAGTCGCTATCCAACGGATAAGTCGCTATCCAACGGATAAGTTTTATCCAGCGTGTGATTTGCGTTGCACGAAGCTTGGATAACTTTATCCAGCGGATAAAAATCGCTATCTACCGGATAAATTTATCCAAGGTCCGGAGGTGGTTTAAATCCACTATCCAGTGGATAAATTCAAAGATACAAGGTGACACTGTAAACATTTGCATAAAATAGGACAAAAATGCCATA